GCGGACGGAGGCTCTTGGCGCCGCCCGCATCCTCCGCGGTTGGCGCGGGGCGGCGGCGCCGGGCTACGGGAGACCCGCGGCGAGAAAGGACCTGTGAGAGTTGGAGGCGTTGGGGAACTGTAGCCTTGCGAAGGCAGCACCTGTCTTTGGGAGGCACAACTTCCTGCGGTGGTTTTTTCAGTCGCCGAAGTCCGTCGGGGTTTCGCCGCGTCCTCGGGGAGGCCCCCTGGGCATCCGCAGGGACCGTCCCGCGGAGCGGCCCACGACACGCGCCTCCCGGGACGCGGGGCGCCCGGCGGAGCCTGGAGGGAAGTGCAGGACCTCACGGCCGCGAAGGCAGCTGCCAGCTTGCGGGAAAAGTGGTAGAGCCACATTTTCCCAGCGTAGGTTTAGGACTGATGTCACATTGGTGAACGCTGCAAACTGTGGTTCGTTGTCACCGGGAAACGAATCGGGTTTGCGCGACCGATTCCCGTGTGGCGTAATCCAGGTGAACAGACTGAGAGATGGGATCTCAAAAAAACACACGGCAGTCCAGTTTTATGTATCCAATGACACTTCACAGGAGGATCTGAAAGCGTCTGAAACCAGGAAGCAGCGCGCTGGGTGGAGGACAGAGCCAGCACGATAGGTTTGATTGCTTCCTCTTTAGCAATTCTTATCGTCCAAAAAATAAGAGTCTTTGAAAGAGGAAACATTTCTTCATCGCCCAGGCCAGGGCACCAGTTCTCCGCATAAGATTGTTTCGAGGAATCAGCAAAGAGATGATAAAAAAAAAACCTTTGCAAAAACTAAAGATAAAACATAAAATTAAAAGGGCTGCAACTAAAAGTGAACAGTGTTAACCATAGAAACATACTTGGTAGCAAGACATAATACCATCAAAACCACTATGTTTCTTTTACTTTGGCCTTCAGTGTTCTGATTTGAAATTTCTCTGATCAAGATTTTAGCACTGTTAAAACTGTATTGTATTTTATTGCTTACAAAATCATAATTTTGCCCTAACCCCTCCCAATCACTTAAAAGTTGTATAGAAAAAAAAAATTATAGGTATGCTCGTTTATCCTCTGGCTTGCTGACCACTCAGCCAAGCTGCTCTAGCGTTCTCTGTGTCTGGGCAGGTCTTCCACACTCAGCAGTTCTGGTCAATGCCAAGGAGACTCAAGTAATTCCTCTTCAGCTGGCAGCTGGTAATTCTTCTACTTAGTTTACAAATACTTATTTGGTGCTAACTACCTGCTAAGCTATGGGCTAAGTGCTGGAGATTCAGCAACGAACAAGACAAACACAGCCCCTGCCTACATGAAGCTTGCCCCTAGAGCCAGGGAGACAGACGTTCAGTAATTACACAATTTTTCTGTTACCACTTTCATAAATATGACAAGAAAGAAGTACAAGATGCTGTGAGATTATAAGAAGGGAACCAGATGTGGTCTGTGGTTCGGGGAAGGCCTAACAGATGAGTAGGGTTTGCCTAGGTAGTGCAGATGAAGTGCACGTACCAGTCAGAGGAAATGTCTTATCTAAAGGTTTTATGATGGGAGAAATGTAAGGCCAGAGTAGCAAGGTGCAGTGTCCCAGTGGAGAC